GAAAAATTAGTAGGAGAAAAACGTCATGAGCAGAAGAAGGGAAGGAAAAGGAGCGTGAGTTAGTGTTTAGTTAGATGGTCATGGTGATAGCCGTTGCCACGTCGTGGTATCATGGAAGATTTGAGAATTAGACGCATACATGAACTCCTGAATTCTCCTTACCAACAAATACAGTGTAGAGTAAATTATACACCGATAAAAAGTTAATAACGAATAAAATATCCATGTTATACAGCTTGGAACGAGCGCTAAATAAGTTGTAATGAAACCGAATGTTCTTCTCTCAAGAGAGTACTGGGATTGTAAATATTTTGACAAGTGTGGACGCTCCCATGTCTATTGAGCTTCCACTCAAGACAGTATGTCCCTGAAATAACTATTAATACAACAATGAACGACAGCGGTTTCTAAACATAACATTTAATTATTAGGCCGATGATTGTGTAAATAGTTTTAGAGGAACCAGGTTGCATAGGAAGGTGACGCTTCATAGGCCGCTGCCATGTTGAGTATATAAGCACGGTAACTGCTGGGGTAAGACGTTGAGGGTGTCTGGTCACACTAAGGTGGGGATCGCTTCGTTCTCCTCTACTGTTTTTGTCTGTATCCGATAACGTCCAACTTAATCCATACCTTTCTACATTCATTGGCATGTAACTTCGTATTATTTTCTCAGTCCTTTCAAATTTTCGTAGCATGAAGGAGTATCTAATAAACGAGCATAAATGACCATTTTTCATTTCATTGCCGGAAAAATAGCTGACGACTCTGAACGATATAAATCCGGATGCGTATTGCCTATTAGTGGGTACAGTACTAAAGGATGCTGAGTTCAAGATTGATAAGATAATTTCAAATTTCTTTGCATTTTTTATATATTTCGGGGGAGCATTTGAATTGAAACGGACATCCTGTATTGCTTACTATTACATCAGTCGTGAAGTCGAGTGTTTCATGGAAATTTGGCGCCAGTATAGCACCTTGACGAGAAAAAAGGGAGAGTCAGCAAAAGGCCCCATAGAGGAGGACTCCTGCCTGCTTGTCGTCCGCTCGTCGATTCCACTCCATTGAATCCTGAGTCTTCAGTGCCGAGCGCGGACCACATCTAGCGTTAGGGCAGGGCGTTCTGTCATCCGGTTCCCCTGTTCTTCTATCTAGGAGGGCCCTCGCGCCCAATGAGGCTATCTATCGGATCAGGGTCAAGATTTGAGCCGCTGGGTGACGTCTGCATCCTTTCGCTCGATCGCCCAATGATCTCTTGTCCGACCTCGTTAATCCCTACCGTCCACATACTTTACGTACCCGAAAACCTAGAAACTGCCGATTGCCTCATATAATATTAGATAGGATCTATCTTACACACTGAGCCGTAGCTTGAGAACACTCCGCATTACCCGAGTAAATCTTCAGTGCAGAGCAAGGTAAGACCCTTTCGTTAAAATAGTTCAAGGAGTGTCTGACTGCCTTCCGCTCGATTTCAGTAGTCCCTGCCTATTCACCTGGATTTAGTAGAGGTGTCCAGAGTCACCGCTTTACTAGAGAAGTCCGCGTCACCGCAACCACGTGGTTCGTCTCTGTCACCGGCCATCAATGATCACTTCATATCACATATACAAAGACACACACACACACACATGTGTTTATATTATGTGTATATAATATAAACACATGTGTGATTAAAATGAACTTACGAACTAGATGAACATCGCTGAACCATCGAAAGTCCTCCGACTGCCTTTAGTTATAACAGGTACAATTCGATATGGGGTGTCATAGCTCGGCAACTTTTAAGATAGTCCCAATGCGACCTCTAGGCTGGCTATTCCTAGAAGAGAGCACCGGAAAGTGTATTTTTGGGTAGGTTTTCGAGTATTGAACTCACTGAACCGCGCCTTCGCAATTGGGAATGCTCATGCTTAATGGTACTCCCGTCTCTGACTATATGTTAGTTTGACTTACTTGTATATATACATATGTAACTTGCGTTTCTGTATGTCTCGGTTGCACGATAGAATGTCGCGTACGAGAGGACGTCGTTCAGGTCACGGCCTTTTCCTCTACGTGTTTCGTTGAGTATGAGTTTGGATATGTCGGTTTGTTTTCTCGGATTCAGGGTAAGAGGAGACACCAGCGTGCAGTGAATCTCTGCCTACTGTCTAAATCCTATTTGAAAACCCTACTAAGCGAATTGAGTCTGCACACAACGATCATGTTTGAAGGGCAGCTTAGTCAACCACTCTCAGAGAGGAGTCGAAACATCGCTTTACTTGAGCAGTTTTTTTCCTGCGCTCTTATTACCGGCAGAAGCTTCTTGCTTTAGCGTACTGCTTCCCTTTAGTTCTGCGCTCGGTCTATTTAAGGAATCCTAAGCGTCCATCGTGCTTTTCTTTGTCGCGTCTCAAAGTAAGTTCTTCCTAGGTAGAAGAAAATACGGCCGAGATTCTACTGCAGACAGCCGCTTCAAATTGGACAAGAGACAAGAGGCTTCAATGGCAGGTCTAACACGCTCTCAGAAGGATGCTTTCCCTTACCGAAGGCAGCATGATCAGGAATCGTGGAGCTCCGGTATGGTATCATACAAGTTTCTGCATACAGCCTGATCTGAAACGATCGTCTTTTAACAAAAAAACAGCAGCAGCAGCAGCAGCAGCATATTTAATCGATATTTATAATTCATTTTAAAAGGAGTGCTTTTCGCGAAAGCGTTTTAAAAATCAGGATCGTGACAGTTGCTGGTTTTGCCTATTGTTACTTGCTCCCAGCCACCCATTTTAAGAAAAAAAAAAAAGGGTACATATAGTAAGCTAAAAATGCTTAGCATTAGACACTATGGCTTTCTAGTTCTTTTCCTGTTTTTCTGACCATACTAATCATTGGCCTCCTGTACTAATTAGCGGTGAGACCTATTTTCAAAGTCGTTCGAAGTGTGCATTACGTAGCACGAATGGTATTGATTCGGGTAGACGTGTTATCAGTTAGAGCCATGCCGAGAGCCTTAACGTTTATTGTTAAGTTGCATTGTCACTTGAGGATGCCTATAACGATTACAGAGAGTAAAACTGAATCGCAGGATTTCTCGAAAAAAAAAAAAGTTAAATAGGTTTGGAAAAGAGCGCGAAGGCCTTCCTTGGCGCTAAATTGTGAACTCCAATAACTTCGTTTTGCTCTCAACGATTTGATTTATCCAAAAAATTGATAGAAACCACATAGCCTTTACAGCATGTTCTACTGCCGATGCTTCGCGCTATACTCGTGAGAGGCTTCAGCGTACTTCAGAACACTTATCCATCGATTTCTGATGACTGCTTTGACAATAACCTTTCCGCCTTGCGCCGTCGAATCCCATAGCGGCCAATTTCTTCGTTGGTTTATCAAATATTATAGCTATCTTTAATCTTAAATGAAATTAATCAAAAATAAAGTACAATCTATATGATTCTGCAACATTTCTGCGTACGTATTGTCTCACGTTATTGACTCACGTAAAATGGGGGTCAAAAATGACACTTAGTCTGGTAGTCTGTTAAATATAAAAAATACTAATAAATATTATTGCACATTTTAAAAGCACTATATTTTATTTGCGTCATTAGTTTTAAATAATTATTTCTATCGGTTAATTTTATGGACTTGTAGTTTGTAATGGTAGCTTATTTGAAATTGTCTAGAATTTACTGTTCATTTGCTTTGTGCTTAATCACTGGATGAAATTCGACTAAACGAACGGGACAATCAGATGCTTTTGGAAACCACCGTTCGTTAAACTACTCATTGCACTAATTATGCCAAGTAAATTTCAGCAATATCAGAAAAAAAAGCAATATATTTACAACAAAGTATCAGGTAGTATATGGGGAATTTTCACAAAAAAAAGCCTATTTTAGTTGATTCTGAGTGTTTCATATTTTCTGAGTCTTTCTGGTGCGCTCGATGATCTGAGAGCATGTCTAAAATATTGGCCAAACAAACAACAAACGTAGTCTAATTCAGGGCTTTCTGTGTAAAACAACCAAAATCAGTTTCAATGTACGATGTTACCCCAGAAACGACTTTACAATATACACACGAAGTCTCCCAAAGCTAGACTAAAAATCCAGTTTGCGTCTACTAGTTGCTCTACTATAGAAAAAAAATGACTAACTTTCCTCAGAGGAAAAAACCCGATTTCCTCTATTTAAGCCGAAAGTAAACCTACGTCCTTCGTACGAAAATGCTTCATACGGTTTTTGCTCGAACACTGGATTTGTGAATTGCTAACAACGGGTTAATTAAAATTCACCTTATTTTGTAACACTTCTACGGGGTTCGACATAGACGCGTTCCTATACAAGTTTCTTACGGACACGCTGTTTTAAGTCCCTGACTCAGATAAATACCAAGTGTGGTGAGAATATTTGTTTCTAAATGTTTGTTAGGTTCTTAGGTTAGTCAATACATTTTACGGCTTTCGTTATCACTGTTGCGCGAAATACCTGAAAGTGTTACCGCGCCAAAAATCCTTTTTAGAGTCTAAGATTTTCTACTGTACATTGGTATCAAGGATGAACTTAGTTGGACCTTCTATCACATGTAAGCCAATACATCTTTTATCTATTATGTTCAATGCACTATTTAACTCTACCATTAAGAGAGGAAGACGTAAGCTAAACTGATTCGACCTATAAACATTAGTATTCTAATTTGTCCTGTATTTATTTGAACTACTTGCATACAATTAACCCGAATAAATCATACGAATGTTCATCGATAAGTTGAAACTAGGAAGTGCGTTAAGGTCTACCTTCTACCTTTTGCCTTCACATCTCGAGAGTAACTAAAGAGGGAAGACGCGTACTGAGTGTAACTCAGTTGACTTAGAGTACCCCCGCGACTCTTCTCCTCGGAATGGGAAAGGGAATTCTTTTGAGAGAGTGCCGCTAAATCTTGAGGGAAGGTATAGTGGACTTGTGAGGTTTGTCAGTGTACACCGGACTATCGTTGAAGCTGCTTCTCTTTTGCTTAAGCCGTCGTAAGACCCCTGCGTACTGGGGAAGATCTGTCTGGTGGTGTAAGACCGTTACCGCTCAATTGTTAAAGTTATTCCTACTTGAAAAAAGTAAGCTTGTGTAATTATGCTTACTTGAGCAAACCTTTGTTACTGTGGAAACCTATCTTTACGTGAGACTCGTGGCTTAAACATAATTATTATATTGCAACCCTTGGTGGATTATGGTGAATATGAAAACCTACCGAGTGCTACAATGGATTAGGTGAGGATCATTGCGATCGGATAGCTCTGCCGTCATGCCACCTCAAGTGGACTCGGCCTTTATTGGCAAATGCACTATGCAAAATTCATGGCGAAGCGAAGATGTGGATAGACGGCGCCCATCTGAAGCTATTTGAGCTCATTGTTAAGTGAACACCGACGATCTTGCACCATGGTGAGGTGGAGGCTTCAATCGTTGGCAAAAATGCTATGGGTCAACTTGCTACTGTTCGAACTGTGCTACTCAAATGCCATTACGGCTGTTAGCAAAAAGCACCCAACAAAAACTAGCGAAAATCCTATCGTACTCGAATTAAAACCACCACCAAATGGGCCGAAAAAGACCCAAATCATACACGGTTTACATCGATCGTCACAAAGCAGGAACGAGAGACCTTTCTCCTTTGACTTGTTCCTTGAAAAAGAGGAGTCGAAAAGACTGCTTGGTAAGTTGATGTGGAAAAGGCAATCCGTCAAATTCCTTAGTTAACTGCAGTTAGCAGCAATGTACGAAGCACATGTACTTAATTGTGTAAAGAATAAGTATACGACAATGATACTGTGCATGTATTATGATTGAATAGATAGCTCACTTCATTTACAACATAAGCTTTTATACGTATAAATAAAGTAAACTCTGTATATTTTTATCTTGACGATTTGTAGTACTTAGGTGAAAGTTGCCAGAAGTGAGTAACGTAAGAAACGACACAGAATGCTCTGCTGTATTCCATTACTATACAAAAAGAAAGTAGATGTGCTCGATGTTAAGAAATAAAGAGCCCACAATAATAAAAAGATCAATGAATTCATAAAGTAGACGTTTTTCTCAATTACTGAAGGTCCACGAACGCTGACGTACTAAGTAATGTTTAGCGATGTTTATAGTGACATTCCTGCTCGTGGTAAATGAGAAACAGATAACGCTTCGGCCCAATATTGCCTTATTACAAGCAAGTCAATGATCATGTTTGCGGCAAGACTCAGACAACAGCCGTCTACAATTTTTGTTTGCGTGAAAAATATTCTAATCCAAACAGATGGTTCAAATTCTATGGTCGACTGTTATCAAAATGCAGTATTAAATTTAAGTAGCAACTCGTGGGAGCGAGATTTAATGAGTACTATAATTAGAGAAGACCGACCAATACGAGGGGAGCAAGGACTGGTGCTCGTAAACAAGATTTACTCATTAAGCTGTGAGGGAAAAAAAAAAACAATACATGAAAGAAATTATTCACCAGATAGTTTCCTATCATCGTCGCGACAAGTAACCTGATGGAGAAACCGTCACATTGCGATTACGTATGTCGTTGCTAGTACAAGCGCCCTCTAGCCAAGTATGCTTAATCCATTCAACAACAGTTCCTGTTTTCTCTAACTATGAAACTGTTTCAATGAACTAACAGTGGGTTTCATGGGCAGACAGCGGTCAGGAGTCCTCTTATCCTCGAAAGCAATTGAAACAACTAGATGAACGATACGCTAATGTAACACGCGTCAGTGGCCACCCATTCTTTGAGCACAAGCATTTCACGAGCAGCTTTTGGACAAAGAGCTCGTCTTGTTGTCAATTCGCCAGCCGCCAGATACAGTGTTCCTCTCCGCAATCCTTCGTAACTTGAACGAAACAAGGAAGGAGATGCAGAGAAGACTGTCGGTTTCCATTGGTAGGGCGGGGCCATTCTACTCTGTTGTCGAAGCCACTCATGTTTCAGTTTCCAGTCGTCAGGCGCTTTGCAACAACGTCCACCACTTCAACGACACCGATGTCACTGGGGCGGACGGGCGAACAGACGCCGTCGCACTCCAACCTAATGGATACGAACTTAATGGCCCAACGAGCAGAGAGTAAATTATTATTTGCTTTTTCAGTGGCAGAACGTGAATTCGACCACTTAGAGATAGCGGTATGACATCAATATGTGGGCATAGAATTGTAAATGTGTTTCCCCAATAAGGGTCTGAGTAGACAAAAAATAAGAAGTTGGACCAGAGCTTGAAAATTATCTTAAAAATAACTTCAATTAACTTACTTTATCTAAATAGTTTGGACGGGCTCTTCACTACTGATAGTAGTGGAAGCATTACAGAAAGAGCAAGTATTGTTTTTTGACAGAAGATGTCATTTGTGATAAATTACATACACCTTTTTTTGGACCATAGATTGGGAAGTTTCCGGTCCAATTCTGGCCTGACTATGAAATAAAATGGACGTAAGATTAATGAAGATATAAAATTTAAAGATTTTCTTACTGATGTTTTCATTCAGGTGCACTCTAAGAGGTACAGTAAATGTCTTTCCTACAGTATGATATGCTAGAGATGCTGCCCATTTACGTATAGGTTAAACACATAACTTCCAGCGAAAAACCAACTTAGAAGTCTTAGACTTGAAGTTAGAAACAGTGAAACGATTAAATAGTGGAAAAAAAAAACACTTCCGTAGTGCCTCCGGACGAACTACGGAGTAAGACGGATGGTCGGCAAAGCCTTCGCAATTGTTTGTAACACTTAGGACTATCGCGTTCACAGCGAAATGTTTCCTGTGCCAGACAAACAAGGTTACTAGCTCTCGTGCACGTGTTGCTGCAGCTTTTACCTAGATGCATGGCTCGATTTACAGGAAAAGAGTTAGAATAATCAAAAACGTTTTGGATCTAGCGCGTAGGCCGTTAGGCGTTACATTAGATGGCTGGTCCCCCAATACAAGACGCCCGGATTCAAACCTAGAGTACTACTAATCTTTATATTTAGTTGGAAAACACGTTAGTCAATCAAGGGGACAGAACTAAGATAATACTTAGATGGCTTAGAATAAGCTGTATCGAGTAATTACTTCCATTATTACATGAAGACTTAAGGTTCGGACCGACTGTAAAGTACGTCAGATTCAAAGTAATTTCTGTTTACTACCGGACGTAAGGCTTGAAACCATCAATTTGTTGCAAATTTTCTGCAAAGAGCTCTTTACATAAGTCAATTACATGAAGTAACATCGAACCCGAGCTTGCGTCTATGTATTTGCACGCAGGCAGTCAAGCACACGCGAATAGAAAATGGCTAGGAAAATCTATAAATACCAGTGTTGCTTTTCTTTTTTACACGTTGATGGTCTGTCCGGGCAAATATATGCGTGTAAATTTTTTCTTTACTCTTTTATCCTTTATGTCTGCTTATGTACGTATATACATACCGGCTCACTATTGAGCTCATGTAACCATGCCTTATATATGACATGGCCTGCTAGTGGTCGTGTTTGTGCCGAAGGCAGTCGGAGTACTGCATGCGATTGACGCCGTTCACCGAACGTGAGTGGCGTGCTCCGAAGTCTGCTGTGGCAGCGGGCGGAACACACGACGGATCTGGCAGATGAACGAAGCGCCCCTCTTTTCTTACAAGCCCCTTGTGTCTCTTCAGCCGATCGTTCGACGACTAGCGCCATCAGTGACAACAATAATAATACATGACCAGATTGTCGTATGAGGATCATCATACCGAAGCAACAAAGGACAGATAAAGTAGCTGAAGACGGGAGACGGGCACAAAGTTACAACTAGCTAAAAGGCTACAACCAGCGTAGGAATGTAAGGCGAACGGGGACGTAATGCAAAAAGGAAAGTAAGGGAAAGCCGATGGATAAGCAAAGGTGTGTTACTTATCAGTCGTCAATAATGTCCCGTCTGACGAAACGAATACATATATGGACAAAGAGCACGGAGCAAAAGTGCGGCTGGCACATAGACGTTGATATAGGAAGACATCGTCCCAACAACGTTACTAAAAACGAAAGATATGCTGCTATTGTTCGTATTTATCTAGACATTTCGTATGGACGTTGCCACTATACTCGGATGTTTTTTCCTTTACGTGTTGTAAAAGTTTTTTTTTTTTTTTTTTTTTTTTCTTAATTTAAGCATGTCACAATGAAAATTCTTATACTTTATTGCTGAAAAATAGCATGAAGCAGCTACCCGGTAATTACCAAAAGTATTTGTATTATAGAGAAATCAAAGATTTTGTTTACGTATTTTGACAAGTACTATGTCCAAATCATGGAGTCGTATCTAACAAAAGTGACCTATGACTAGCAGCCGATGGATCCTAGATAGAAGGGTTGATTCGAAATTTAGATAGAATATTTTTTAAACAGTATAACTACACTTAGCACAAGATCGCTACAACTGCAAATAGCCAGTATCAAATCTGATCAAGGTGACACGGAAGCGGAGCAATACATTTATCGTTTGTTGTTACATTTAGATTAGTTCGATCGCACTCACATTTGCCTGCTCTCGTATGAAACGATATCACTTGGTGACTTCCGCAGGTCAGAGGCACATACGAAATCCAAAAATAGTAGGTTAAACTGAACCTGCCGAGACGAAAGAAGACGAAGCTAACTGATCAATGTGGCCACGAATTAAACGAGGAAAAGGAGTTTTTTTTTTCAAACGGGATTTGTGTGGAAGGGGTGAGAGATCGTATGCCACTGATGGGCGATATGGTACAGAAGGTAATAGATGGCTGAAGTCGGCCTAAACAGAGCGTAGATTTGTGTATGTGTACCTGTTGTGTGTATATTGCAGTTTTTAATGGGAGCAGTAGCCATCGTAATGACGAAGTGGAAGAAGCTCGAGGCTACGGCTGATGATCAACCAGCGATAGAGCTCATCCCTTCTCCTGAAGACGGAAAGCTAAGTTGGTGGGAGAATGCTGCTCCCTAAAAAAGTCAGAAAGAACCATCCGAACGACTGAGCAGATTTACATAAGGAAAGCAGTCACATCATAAGCTATATAATGAATGATGAACAACTACAACTCACGTTGAGCGACTGGTAAGCCACTTAACTGAATGTGCGCGTTGGCAAATAAGGTGGCAGTTTGAAAAACAAACAATGTATTGTGCACACCCTGAAAACTTAAGTTCTTAAATCGCAGTTTACTTTAAGAATTTTCTAGGAGAGAGACCTATTTCTTTATCATTAGCGATCACGAGCACAAGAAATGGATATTATTTTTTAAAAAGAAACCATTGCGCAAAAGTTTTTCTTACGTGGACATATAGGACAGAGTAAGGCATGTTGTAAAGCTCAACAAAACAAAACTCACAGCAAAAGATATCAAATAATATCGAAGTGTTTTTCAGTACAATTCAAGGCAGCCAAATGACGACGCTTTCCTACTCAGAAATATTCATAAGGTGGAAAGCTACTTGGATCCAGCCATCTTTTCGTGCAACTCCTCGTTCGCTAACGACTCCACTAAGGGAGCGCACTCCTCATTTGGTCGCATCAAACATTGACTCTTCCATATTTTTGCTCAGACAAACCAGCTTTCTCAGCGCATCCGATTGGTTTCCCTTTCCATCGACTCGACTGTCGTTCGTCTTCCTCTGTCCGATCGCGGACCCCTTTTTCTGGTCCTCTGTGTGCTTGTGTCTGTCTGCCTGTTACTTGTGGTCCATATGCTGCTGTTACCGCTGCTGTCAATCAATTATTCTGCTCACTGCTGTCTCTTTTGCTGTGGCTTGTTCGATTGCTTCACTATAAACACGTAGCGGACGACAGCTTTTCTACTTGTTCCGGATTTCTGCGACGACATTCATCTTGCGCTGGATATCTGCAGTTCCTCTCCTGTCAGACCAAATTGCACATCAGCCTAATATTGTGGCTGAACAGTACACCCTCATGTTATTGAAGCTCTTTGTCCGCGAACGTATTCATGTATATAGCATGCTTTGAGTCTACATTCATAATTTTTTTATAGATCAGCCTTTTTTGTTGATATCGACGACTACTATCTCTATCACTCAATACGCTTACGGATCTCTAAACACGATGTTACTCTGTAGTTACGTTCAGAATCCGTCCCGAGAGTGGGATTGATAAAACTAGATCTCGATGATTATCGTAAATGCAATGTATAATTCAAAGTCGTATGAGAGGGGTTTTTCAATTTAAATAAGTTTTTGTTTCGTAGATTAACGAATGTGATTCATGTGCGAGCCCCCTTTATCAACTCGAGATAAAGATGCAAGCTTTGTAAATGAAGTTCTACTTTTTGTATTTATTCCAGGTATCGATGTAAACCTGTTCTATGTTCGAGACGGCGTCACAAACGAGTATGCTTTGCGATTTCCTGTTCCTGTCCCAGGAAATATGTCCGAATTGGAGTTTAGTTGGAAAAACCTTCGACCACAACATCAGACATTAAACTATAAAATTGAAATCCAGTTGGATAATCCACACGCCATGTTTCAGCCAACCTTGAATATTCCGAGTAAAGGTTCGCAGATGATTAATAAAATGGCCATACTCTTTTAGTTAGCACTCCTCAATCAGATTTTAGTGAAAACGATAGGTTTCTACGACACTTTTAAATCAATCTGTCACCTCATGGCTACAAAATATCGGAAATCGTCTGCGCATACCAACAAGCCATAACATTTACTAGATTGAATTTTTCTGTAATTAAATATCACATTGTTTGCTAAAACCTCGAAGAAATACCGCAATATTATAGCATACCGCTTTAAGCATTCGTTGCAAGCTGCAAGCCTAGTAGAGGACGTTTGGTTTTATTTTTAGTTAGCTTATAAACGATACATTTTTGATACAGAACAAATTCAACTAAATCAATAATGTTCGTGTCCCACTGATAGTTTGTGAAGACATAGGCAAACAGATTGGACCAAACGCTATTGCTGAAGGAACTGATACTAAAGATAAGCCCGCGACGATAACAAATTCTCTTTTAAACGCACATTCGAGCACTTCATACTTTGAGATTAGAACCCCGTGTGCTCACTGTAGGTACATGGACCAAGGGCAAATGATTGAATGTAACCCTACGGCAAGCTGTACATTTCCCTCTTGCACAGTATTAGCGAAAGACAACGAAGAACTGGAAGCATTATTTTTTAACTAGAGACTAAGTTGTTGATTTAAATATAATAATGTATGCATTTTTTGGCTTTGAGCAGAATAAACAACTTCCCGAAATGGGTTAATAGGGTAATTATTCCAATTAATGTTTAAACTTCGATTTGTTACTTGTATCAATATACAACGATGTGTGTTACTCTAGATCGAAGTAGAACTGTTTAATCAAAAGCATCATTAAAGGAACATGTATACCTGGCGGAAGAGTTACTCTACGGTTGCAGTGCCTTTTCGTTCATAAGGAATATTAAATATTTGAAATCTTCACAACACAACTACAACTTAATACGGTTGCCAATTCTTTCGTGAATCAATAAGGTGTAGTTCCAGATCACGCCGAGTCCTTTGTAGTGCGTTTGCATTGCACCGGTCGAAGTAATGCCGAAGTTCGCGTCACCATCCTTGTGGACATCAGTCGAGCGAACGAAGCCAAACTAGGTGACAAAGACGATGTCAAGGAAGCTAGTCAACAAATAAAACTTCAACGCAAGAAGGTTTGCCTTCAAGGTAAATACATCGCTGATTCTAGTTGAACTCTTAGCCATTACACAATACAAACTGAATTTAAGTTACCACGCTCTGGCCTTATCGTCTGGCCAGAGAGAACGTAATGAATGGATCAATGATGAAGGTAATAAAAAGCGAAGGTGAGGCTGCCCAAATACTCAGGCAATTCCTCTCATTTTAGATGAAAAGTCAGTAACAACGACGGCTCGTGCTGTCATCGATGGCATCGACGGAGAAGTGGAAGCAAGTGACGAAGATGAAGGGGATGAGGAAGAGCTTGAAGAGAACAGTGTCATTCTTGTTGGCGATAGTGCCAGCGACAAGGAAGCTTCCAGACGAAAGAAAAATTCTGCCAACTCCGTCACGATGATTAGTGGTAAGTAATCCGAAAAAGTAGCAGAATTGGCTTCCACGACTAAATAGCGGTACAGTCCATTTTGCAACGCTTAGATGACAAAATGGTGGTGATGATTCTATGTACGTTCTTTTTATATGAATATCGCTAATAACCATTCGAACCATAGTGGTCGCCACAAATAGTAGAAGCAGTTCACATATAAGGATGGTAGAGATGTACATATGTTTTTAGGTAAAGTGTGCATTTGCCGTATAGTTTACACGCGTCCTTAACCTGAACCGTTACGTCAGCACATCAAACTCACCTGTCTGGAAGAAGTGGTAGTGTGCTAAACAGCAGTTCATGTTCATTGTTAATATTTTTCAATAATGTGCAACACGTAAGTTTAGGCATGGCGAACGTAAATATAAATAGAACGGTCGAGGATATTCTAGTAGTCAGAACCTATTGCGGACAATTGCGTTATATATATATATATATATATGTATATGTATATTTTTTTTTCTGGTTTTCTTCTAGATGAAGCTTTGGCTCCAGGTAACGACTGGGGTAACGCATGGGGTGCGAACGGTTGGCCAGTCCTCCTAGTGGCCGGTGCGGGTGCGGTCGCAACTGGGGCAGCTCTGGCATCGCTGCTAGCTACGGCCGTCTGTTTTATGCGAAATCAAAAAAACAAACGTCAGAACGCGTCGACAACGTTAACATCGTCGAGTAAGCCCGCTGGTCAACAAGTCATCCAGGCTGCCGCCGAAAAATACTGTCGCGAATGGGTAGCAGCTTCAACGTTGAATGGCTCTATATATGGCCACGGTATCGGACAAGGAACTGAAGTAACGTCCATGTTAACGACAGCTACCCCGTCAATGCATATAGACAGAACACTCAACCATCGATTGATCCGGCTCGGCAGCCCCGTGGCTTCAACAATAGCTTCTTACTCTTCCTTCAGAAAGGCGCGTCATCTCGAAGTGCCGCCCAGTCCAGCCCCGCCACCAACGATGGGTGGCCTGAATCAGTTGACACTTAAGTGCATGGGAACTTTGAACAGTTCTGCTGGCCAGTACAGTACAATTCAAGATCTTTCTAGATCTAGAAGTTCGCTTCTGTCAGAGCAACTAGCTGAATTAGCGATAGACATGCGATACTTGTCGCTGGTGAAGCTTCTCAGTGAAGGCAGTTTCGGGCGAGTTTATCACGCCGTACTCAACGATCCATCTTGTCCACCACAAGAGGCACCAAGTCAGGCGCATTCCGTACTAGTCAAAACCGTCACAAATCAGGCGACATCCGAACAGGTGGAGCAGTTCATGCAGGAGGGCATGATGTTATTTGGCATGAATCATGCTAACGTAATGCAGGTAGTCGGAACTTGCTTGGATCTAGCCAGTCAACCTGCACTTATCTATCCAGCAATGGGCGAAGGAAATCTGAAGCAGTTTTTAAGACAAAATGCTCTTTTGCAAACCGATTGTGGGAAAAATCGTATTTCGCCTCAAGACTTAGTTGATATGGGTGTGCAGGTTGCTGAAGGACTTATGTATTTGCATCGAAGATTTTTCTTGCACAAAGACGTAGCTACACGCAACTGTATGCTGGACGAACGTCTACATGTGAAATTAGGAGATAATTCGCTATCTCGGGACCTCTTTCCTGATGATTATCACTGTCTGGGCGATGGAGAACATCGACCTGTTGCCTGGCTGGCCATTGAGTCGCTACAGAACCGCGAGTTCACGCCAGCGTCTGATCTCTGGATGTTTGGAGTTACAATTTGGGAATTACTTACGTTGGGCCAACAACCATTTCCAGATGTTGATCCGGCTGATATGGGTGTACACCTTCGAAGCGGGCACCGATTACCGCAGCCTTCAAATGCTCCAGACGAAATGTAAGTGAGCTAATTGTATCTAGTGTTAATGCCTACAGCTGACTCGATATTTATGTAAAATTATGTATGTACGCCTGAGTATATGGGTTGAGCTCCTTAGGAAACCCAACTGTAACTTAATGGCGATCGCATCAAAATTAGATCAACTAAATGTTTGTTAACTTTTTGAGATAGGGAACATGCTGTTGCCACTAAAAAAATTTAAATTTTTAATAGTATTCTCTTGGCACCTTTTTAGACCGTGGGTGATTTATGGGGTAAGCTGCGTGCTTAATTAGTGTCACTCTTTGAATTTTTCTAGAATATTAATGAGTCTAATTTTTTTTAATTATTTTTTTAAATATACTCAAATCGTCTAACTTAATTTGTCTCAAATTCAAAATTGGAGCAAGAATTATAGTGTGAGTAAGCTGCTGTAGTTATATCAAATACGTAGAATGATTTCTAAATGTACTTTTAAACGTACGCAAAGAATGAAGCAATTTAACAAGAACATATGATGAACACAATACATCCTTTTGCTCTGTGGATCACAATTTTTTATTGCCAAAAAATTTAAACAAAGACCCGTTGCTAAACTAACGACTTAAATAGGTTCATTAATACATCATTGTTCCCTAATGGAGAACTCATGATTCAGGATTCTTTGAAAACGCTCGTTAAGCAGGGGTCAACTATAGTCTTGAATTTTTTGCATTTTGAGTAACTAAATGAGCAAAGTTTTCTGCTTCGTAGCTTTTCGATTAAGCAATACGTTCGATTTGTAGCATAAACTTAGTAGCTACGTGAAACCTACGCCGGAGTTCTGAAAAACTACACGCTTCATTTTTATCTCGATAGGTACTCTCTGATGTGCCGTTGTTGGTGCCTTTGTCCTGGGGATAGAGTTACGTTGCAGCAGGCGACTCGCACACTCGCTGATTTTCACTTACGCTTTGATTCGAGCTCATCGGGTGACTCCAGAGATGAAGTCACGGGTTCCAGGGAGGCTTTAACCTCGTCGCGAAGGCCCAATCAGCAACACAGCCTGCAGCCACACATGCAGAACCTATCTGCTCGACAAGCAACGAGCACTGTGGGTAGTACGTCGTCATTTAAACCAAATGCTGCTCCTGCAGTATACAGAGATGACGAAGTCATCTATGCTAACGATGTTTTGCCCTAGTCAAAGCAGTGTGCGAAGCCTAGACGTGAACACCTTTCTGAATTCATCCAAACATGTGGATATGGTATTCCGCATGACCTCCTCAGTTCAACCAGATTAATAGAAATACTTCAATATTAAACAATGAAACTTCATCCTGACTAAAAGAGACCGGGCAGTGTATCTATTTCAGAACGGCATAGCTAGGCAGTACGAACGCTAGTGGAATGGGTAAACTGGAAACAATGGAAAGAAATACGAAAATGAAACGCTACTTATGTAGGCTACAATAGGCGGATAAGCAGATCCCTGAATATACTGATAACTCAGTCGAGCTAAGTGGGCTAATGTATAGTATACAAACGAGAATCTAATCCCACGATGGAATGTTTATATCTCTATGTTGATGTACGTGCAAAGAGTTTATATTTAAAAACAAACGTATAGCCCCCCCCCCCCCCCTCCAACTCACGTTAAAGATGAGATGCCCTTAAGCGCCTCTTCAGGAGGCTTTGACAAAAATTAGTTTACCCAGCGATCGTTTTTCATTAAAAATCAACGTACAACATCTTCAATAAAGAAAATTGTGCAATATGCTCCAAAACTAAAGCGACGATCTCTGTGTAGTGGTCGTGTGACAAACAATCTTGCAAACGTTTATGATCGTAACCAACTCATTATTTCACAACTCGTTGATATATATATATATATATATATATAAATGTAGTATTGGATGTGCTAATTTCAAAACGTACGTTGGTTTCAATATGTCCATTACACAATACATTCTGCTATTATAATGAGTTAACAAGGAGCCAAACAATGCTCGTGTCTAGAACAAAGCTCAGCTTCCAATACTTAATATTAAGGTAGCCATGAACACAAAAGTTCGTCAGCAATCATTGTTACATTAGTTGGCGCTGGAGTTGCTGTTTGTATCCACGTTTTTGTACCTGTTTTTATAAATGGTTAAGATCGATTTGGTTAACTAATTTAATTGACAAAAAACCGCCTAAGTATATTGATTCTCACTGCTGGTCGAATTCACTTAATATCGCTTGATCGGTATGATTCGTCCGACGTATCTATCTAGCTGCTCCAGTTTTGCCAAGATGTAGTCTACGCTCCTATTTTTACGTGCATAACAATAATCAAAGGGACATCACATAGGTGAAATGACAATTTGTACATTTTACAATGCATTTTCATAAGTTAATATTGCAGTAATTGTAAATACATGTTTTATATGCCACCACTCAAAGGAACTATCAGCAAACATATGTTTGTTTCAATGTAAATAAACAGCAGCAGTGTTAAGCGGATATCAGTGTATTTTCCATTTTCCCAGCTGTGTGTATACGTAACTACAACTGGGTAACAGTGAGTACTTGAAAGGTTAAAAACAAGTCGGTGTCAGACGACCAATACAGACGAAACATACGTAATGCATTCTGCATTTAATAAAGTAAAATCGAAATGTGCCCTTGGCCAATCTTCGACCTGAAGTATCGCGTAGCTTTTCGGCTCTAGGGTTTTTTGGAAACTAATGTCAGCGGACTCGTGCTCTGTATCTGATTCCAGTCGCAGTTGTTATTGCTCCATCATACAACTGATTGAATTTTAGCGTCTTTCTGAGGCCGCAGCCTACATGATTTCTTCATAAATTCATGTTGCATTTCTTAGTACATGGAGTAATCGACTTTCTTTTGCGCCAGTCACAGTCCTTAGCTTTACTCTAAATGACCGTTTCTAGATATAAAAATTATTGTTTTTGAAGCTGAACTTAAAGTAACACCCTGAATTGAATGAATGTATTTTATTCTTATCCAGTGCCACTTTGGCGGCTGTAAAAGTTGCCGACTCTAATTAGACAGTAGACAACGATACGTATCGCATCACAGGAAGGTTACCAATTTATTCATCATATACCTACCTTACTATCTGGCACCCTTCTAGAATAGGTCTCCCACATTCAGTTCATAATACTTGAAGCGTGAAATTAGAAGTGCGAAGTTACAAAACGTTTGCAACTGCTGAGAGCTAGAAGTCTACAGTTTTTAATGTTCGAAAATAACAGAGACTGCTTCCAAAGAAACATATTTTATGTTTTGACCCTGAATGCTCGTCTGAGCAAGCATCTGCACTCGCTGCTATTCAATGGAAACAGTTTTTGGTGCACTCGTTCGTAACTTGAAATGAAGCAAAAAAAAAACCTGTTCTTCTATGAAAACATTTAAACGCACATCGAAAACCTTTAACTGATAAATTTGTAGGAACCTAATGATATCATCCGTACACATGTACGACGTACACCGCTCCTTTTATATAATAACACGAATAATACTTGTTTACGTTGATTGTTTTTGCTAAGTAGCTTTGCTGTGTAGAGAAAACTCTGTACTAAGAACCTCACGTCGAAAAAACAGTTCTCATCTGTAAATGAACCGAAGCGTGAAACTTACTGTTGAAGCGCATGCTTTAAATGCAACTTGACGCGTGCAAATAACGCTAGAGGAACACTTCGACACACTCTGAAGGCGGCCTCAGTACGATGAGCCCTAAATGAGCACAACAACTACGCCAAAAAAGCTTACACAGCCAGAAGTCAAGGGTTCGTGGAAGTTGTCGGAAACGTAACGGACAATAAGAGAAACATCAATATAGCATATTATCTTCGTACGATATTCGCTCTATGTTCATACGTGAGATGTTAAGACTCGTTGTTCTTGCAGCCTGCACTGATACAAGAACAAAAAAAAGAAAGCATTAGGCGTAGTCTTGGCAATACTTCGTTATGGATTGCTTCTAGCATTTTAATTAATTACCGTTCTTTTATTTTGTTTCGAAATTCCGTAATGAAGGTTTTACTTTGAAGGGTCAAGTTAAATACCTGATTACCAAATATTCATATTATATGGTGTGCTTAGCTTGATATGGCAAGCAATGGTTACTGCGTCCTACATTCAGAAGGATACAATCATGTCTTTAATAATTATAATGAGAAGCATAAAAAAGACGATAGGCGAGCTTCCTGTTGACCTAAAAAAAAGAAGGGAGCTAAAAACAAAGTGTCTCTCGTTCTCGCCCTCCCCCTTAGTTTTCGTCTTCAACTTTTCGTAAGTGAGCGGCGTGAGAGAAAGAAAACAAGACACGAAACTGTTCGACGAAGCGCGAAATTCGCTCAAAAACATACTCGGCCTCCTTATCGGCGCGGACGTCCGCCGTACGTTTGTTGCTGGGCCTGTGGTGACGAAAGCAATTTCACCATTTTCAGCAGCATTTTTTTGTCCGTCCAACTTGAACGCCTGCCCAACGAGACGCCGAACGACAACGGCTACTACAACGACGCAAAAATATTACGCGTCGCATAGTAACAGCAACGAAAGCGATGGCAGCAACGGCAGTAGAAAAATCAGCTCCCCCGTGGACTGCTGTCCCCCTTCTTTCCGACAGCGTTTGCCGAGTTACTTGCCCAAGCCGAAAAGCCCCTCTTATCTTGCTACATGCACCTTGCGATGAAATTGCTGCGGGTGCCGACAAAGGATTGACATCCTTTTCGCCATAGCAAAGCTTCTGTGTATGTATATATATGGTACAGCGTACCCTGCCTCATCTCCGGGCGGCATTCGTTGACTCGGCTGCATAAAGACAAGCCCTTAGCTCACACTGCAGCATATTGTGTGAGACGCCCGCCAAATCTAAGAAGCCCGGTCCGACCGAAGAGCCTCTGAGCCCATCGCATCCAGGAGCCTTATAAAGAGTTCTGCTAGGCAAGTGGCAAGCTGAGGCTGCCGCAGGTACTGTTGATTTGGAGGCTGACTGGCTGCCATCCTGCCCGACTTCTTGGGCGAACGGCCGATGTGCACGATGTTGTTCAAGAGGTTTTTATTTTACGAGATGATGAGAACGACGAAGCGGGCAAGGTTAGGTTGTCTGGAACGTAGACAGCAGATAGACCCCTTGTTGTCTCAGTGTCCCTTTTGCTTGACTTCTCTGCACTTCCTGGTCCAAGATTCCACGTTGGCCTCCAAGTTCCGTTAGCTATAACGGCGAAAAAGTAAGGACTTCGCTGTTGGCAAGGGCTCCAGATGCACCCAGCACAGTCAGACATAACACACGTAGGTGTGTATATAGTACGGTATGCGTACCTATGTTTATGCTTATTTTTATGTGCTTAGTAGGTTAAATATAATGCAGAGTTTCACTAGCAAATACGTATTCAGCTTATCAATATGCCGACTGCGTATGATAATAGATAGCATCTCCTTTCACCAGTTCAGCTTAGTGTTCATACGTTTGCATCTTGTAACCGGTTAAAGCATCTTCCTGACTAGTCATGGTCGTATGGCAGCAAGCGGTACAACCGAAAGTTCCCATCAACACACTTAACGACGAAGAGAAGCCAGCAGTTCCGATGGTGATAAATTGCATCATAGTTTTCTTGCCATGCTTCCTGAGCTAATGACACCGCCAGGCACTTCTCGATCCTCTCACATAAGGTCTCAGAGCAGGGCATCAGGGACTGAGATGACACGTGCGTAGGTTCTGTTCATTGCAGATTATTCCGTTTCAAAGTTGTTGGGTATTCATGGCGACTCTTGGCAACAAAGGAGCACAAAACGGGACATCGAGTACGTCAGACCAAAGAGGGCTGTAGACAGACAGAGTATATCAAGCCAAACCACGTCCAAGTAGCTCGCCCTGCTTCGTCCTGTTGCTAAGCCGGTGAATGAAATAGTAGTCCTAAACGAGTTAGTCGTAGTCGAAAAGCTACGAGAATTCAGGGGATATATAGAAACGTTGTTCAAGTTCTCCGCACACCAACTTAGAAGGACTCAATTACGAGTTTATAGAGCAGGGGAGAGCTAGCTAGAGGCTTAGACCTAGCACGGCACAGGCACCCAGGGTTCGTTCCGATGAATACGTCGAACGCGAAAAAAAAACGATCGGTTTCCTATTGAGACCCAATAAAAATAGAAAATTACACTTCGAAATGTGAACAGATATAAGATTCATGTGCTTTTTCAAGTGTTTTGGACAAATCGAATATATTATAGTATCCCGTATATAGTAAGATATAAAAAAATCGATACTGAGGCTGTTCTGCACGAAATGGTAATGATGGTGACCCATATAGGCAGTTGTCACCTGCTGTTTGATTTACACAAACACTGTCCTAATAGTTCACCATATCGTGGTTGGCTTACATACGTGTAGTTCATGATCGTTTCTAATTTACATTTGAACTGGTAGAAGCAGAGCGCAAAAGAATAAGTCAGCGTGAATTTTCTATGTCTTAATCAGTCTTTCTTGGTATCCTACGTAGTATATGTAGATGAACTTAGCAACATACGTCTTATTCTGTCAGAGTGTACCGGCGGCATCAGTGTTGTTCCTATCTCAGACTGCAAATGGACTCATACAACCTATTAACAGGTTTGCAAGTATATTTATACCAAATTTAACCTAAAGCACAAAAATATGCGGCTATTATTTCCAACGGATGCGTTTTTTACCAATTGTCAAAATAGTGCTAATTTTATGCATGTGCGCCCAACCCTTCCCTTGACAACGAAGAGAAATGACCGCTTTTAAGCTATATTAATAATCTAATATAGGCGTGCTTTAGCCGTAAGCTAGGTGAAAGTAGCATTATATCATAAAGCCGTGCGGAAGGTCTGGCGATAGCAGCGGATTGTTAAAAAAAGATATTACATACTCGATGATGAGTTGTTACGGGTGCCCCCAGGGATCACACTCAAAAGATCACTAACTACTTTTCTCTTCTGAAGTCTATCGTCTGCTTTGGCTGGACGTGGTTGAGTTATGCGTGTTTATCCGCTTCGTCATGTTGCTTCCTGCAAACTTTTCCTGTTCTGAGCTCCGACATTGTCTAGCAATAGCTTGGAGCTGTCTATTACATTTGACCGATAAAATACGCCCCAAACACCCACACTGCGGTTATACTGACGCCACGGAGAATGTCGTGTTAATTACAATTAGTAGAGATTCGGGTGACTTGGATTGAAATTATTCAAAAAAGCTTTAGTACCAAATCAAACGTACAGCCATTGTACTGAATATCATTACAGGAACGAACGACATTGAGTTTGTGTATTTTACATGAGCTATGTGAATTATGTCCTGTATCATATAGCTACACTCAAAGTCATGCACGAGCCTGGTAAAATACTTATACGAGTGCAGTGTGAATTTTTTTTTACTGAGGCGAGCATGTCCGTAAAGTAGGACCATCTAATTAACCGTTAGAGTTGAACGGATAGTAAAGGAAGTGTCCAGAGATCAAATATGGCGTTTTACT